TTTTTGTTATACATATTTCTTACAGTTCTTCTTCTTATTTAATCAGGTGCATTCTATTATCAATTCGATTGTCGAAAAACATCGTGCCATCTGGGCCGAAGAGTTTGAAATAATTCAACAGAAACGTTTCTCCTTAATGGCAGCCGACTTTTCTGACGCTATTTCATCACTCGTGCGCAACTGCCAGACTGACGTGGATGCTTCTTTCCATCAAGTTCGAGACCAGCTATATCCTGTTGGTACAACTGAATATCAAGTTCCACGTCCTGATCAAGCTCCTGTCGATCTGGTCCGAGATCAGCAGAATCCTCCTGTTGCATCTGAAGTTCAGGTTCCAGAGGTTGTTCTAAATTCAATGGATGCTAAAGAAAGTCAAGCCAGAGTGTCGGATGATAATGTACATGTCTCTCCTGTTCTAAATTCAAAGGATGCTCAGGACACTCAAGTGAACGAGAATGTTGGCACCGAGGGTCTAGTCTCGGGTGATATCACACGCGTCTCTCCTGATCCTATTGAAGATCAATCTCCCAACTTTTCAAGAGGCATATGTGCTACTATCAGCGATGATCCTTCTCACTTGGAGAATGTTGCCGCTCCAACACCTACTGATGCTAATCTCACTGGTGGATCATTTGTAACACGAACCGTTGATAGAAACTCAAAACGGAATCATGATGAAACGGGAAACGGAAATGATGGGAAATGGAAAAGAAAAAAGAAAAGAAGCTGTTCAGCAATCCCACTTTGCAAACCTTCATCTGATCTCTCCCTATCCGATACCTCCATGGCCCACATGTCAGAGGCTGGCGACCCGTTCGAATTTCTCCCGCTATCAATCCTCGCCGACATCCTCGGCCGCGTCGCTCATACCAGAGACATCGCATCGTGCCGCCTTGCCTCGCGCGAGCTCCTCGCCGCGGCTTACCAGTGCCCACGCATCCGCCTCGACGCCTCCGGCCGAGCACCCGGTCTTCGGAAGGGTGGGGGAGGGGTCGAGGGCACCGCCTTCCACACACTCGCTGGAAACCTCGCGTCACGCCTCGGGTCGCACCTCCGCTCCCTTGTGATCATTGCGCCCGAAGGGCAGGGTTGCCCCGATGAAGCGGCGTGGGTGGAGGAGGGGGAGTTCGATGAGCCTGATGATCTGCATGTTACCAGTGGAAACTCCGTGCGGGCGTGGGCTACAACAGCCGCAGGACCTGCCCTCCAGGAGGTGGAGATCGCTGACTTCTGGCCACAGTCATGCTGGCGGAAGGCGGAGGCGCTCCCTGTCATTTCGCACTTCTGTCAGTCTCTCTCTGGCAATATTTATGTTCTCTGCATTGAAAAGTTGTTTCATTTCAAGGAATGTATTATCCTGCTAGAGTTAGCTTGTCACGTCGGAACAAGTTATTTAGCTGAAGTTATGCTCCTTATTCACAAAGCTTACTGTTTCGTGGTTGAATTATAATCTGTAATGCTCTAAAAAGGTTGTCTTTTAACCTGTGCTGTTCTAGAAACTTACCCGTTTGCTCATTTATCAATTTTGGGCTATAGAAATAATAATTACATTAGGGGGCTTGGTTTTTGTTAAAACTCTATTGCTCATTGGTTTGAAGTTCTGGGTCTCTTAGATGTCAGTTGTAGATTTTACATTTTTTAGAGGATCATGTTGATTTTGCTCTGTCTAAAGCTTGAAACCGATATTTAGGTAGATTACAGTGGCTTAAGATTTGGCTTACTCTCGTCCTGGCAGAACGGCAGCAACACAATTTTAATTACAGAGAACTTTCCAACCATTTTATTATCTTTGAAGGAAGATACACAAGTAGAACATTTTGGGGTCATAGCGCTGCAATGTGGAATCTCACCAAGTAGTGCTATTATCAGTTTATCACCATATTCAGATATAAATAATTTGTGTAGTTAAGGCTGCATCTGTCACACTAAGTTTGTGATGGTCTATTTGGTTCCAGATATTTACCCAGTTAATTAAACCCTGCTTGTAATGATCTGAGATTAAATTTTGTGTATGCAGGTCATAATCTGCTCAAACTGGGGCTGAAAAATGCATGGCTGTCTGTTGATGGGCTCGAGATAATGCCTAACCTGACCCATCTGACTCTTGAATTCATTAGACTCGATGACGAGGACCTGAGCAAGCTGAATGAATGCTTCCCTTGCCTTCAGGTTCTCAATCTTATCAGAGTCGGGGGTCTCAAAAACCCCAAGATTCACCTCTCTCAAGTAAAGACTTTCCGCTGGAGGTATCAAATGCTCCGTGTTCCTTAGCTATCCATGCGCCGAATTTGGTTCATCTCGAGTTGAAGTGTGTTCAACCAGATATCCTCATTTTAGACACTCCTTCCGTGTCTACTCTGAAGCTGACCATTGATAAACTCGGTCCAACTGTCCAAGTTGACGGCCTAGCGAGTTTGAAAAATCTTCGAATCGAGTCCTCGGAGCTGAACTCCCTCCTGCAGCTGTTTGCAAGTGATTGGGATATCAGGACATTAGATCTTGAGCTACCAGTTTCTGTGGACTGCATGGACCTTTACTATGAGGTGAAGCCAGACTACCTTGTCCAATTGTTCTCCAGAATCACTGAAGTGAAGCTGTCACCAAGGTTTTCATGTGCACTGATGAGCCTCCTATGCCTCTGTACGAATCATGAGTCTGCAGGCCGTTTGGAGAAACTTCTGGTCCATCTACCGGCATCGGACATCACTTCTTGTCCGTTCGTGCCGTTGCTTAGTGTGGGCGCGCCGTCGTGCGAGGTGACTGTTCTTTTCCATGCTGATACCAGCGATGCTGTTCGTCAAGCTGCTGCATCAGTCTGGCCACCATTTGTTCGGGGACTCCCAAGGTTTCCGGAGATCACATGGCGATGGGGTACTTGACAGTAACCCTTGTATCCATACTTCATTCGAAGGCTATCATGAATCTCAGAGCTAGCAGTGCCTGCGACACTTCTGTCGACCCATCACCGTCTTCGACAGTTTCTGAAGCCTGTTGGTTTGGTCATGGCACATTTGCTGATGGCCGGATGTGTGCCTACTATGCGCCGTAGCACTGTGGAAAAATGTTCCAACATGAAGAACTATATATGGTTGTCTTGCTAGATTATGTAGTACTATTTGTATGATGCATATGACCTGCTAAACAGTTTCTGAAAAGGACTGTGCTAACGACCAGTCGACTGGTCGTTAGCGACAGATCCGCACGACTCCCCTCGATGACTCCCGCTTCTCCCGTTGCGCACCCTCCCGCTTCTCCCGTTCTCCCCCGATTGACACTAATAAAAAAAGGCGAATTGAGAAAAAAGTATGCTACATGGGATTCGAACCTGCATCAGGTAGCTAGGGCATGCCTAATACCATGAGCAACAACCATTACACCAACCCAAGCTGTTGTTCAATACTTGAAAACAAAAGTCTTTTAAAACTCTTTTTCACCATTGTCAGATGACAAAAAGAAAGGTATTTTCTTGAAAACAAATCACTGCATAAATGATGATGTACTATACGTGTGAATGTGTAGAGGGACTCCTCTATGACTTTTTTATCAGGAGGGTCAGGTACATAAGTTATCAGGTCTGTGATGTATGAGTTACCATGCTATTCACACAAAAAGTTATCGAGGGGATGTTTTATCAACTCCCCCCACCACCCCCATCGCCAAAGTTATCAGGACCTGGGTACATAAGTTATCATGTCTATGATGTGTGTTACCATGCTATTCACACAAAAGCTACCGAGGGGATATTTCATCAACTCCCCCCACCCTCGTCGCCAAAGTTATCAGAACCTGGGTACATAAGTTATCAGGTCTAC